AGATGAACATTTCACAGGTACTAATGGCGTAGCAGGGTAATCGATTGCAGGCAGCTTAAATTTGTGAGCCCTGTGGGAAAAGCTCCGTCAAAGATTTTCTCTAAACACATAAAAGGATGTTTTAGGGTTGTCATCCCGTGGTCAGATTTTTTAATGGGAAGGCATGGTGGTCATGATGCTGGCAGAGTAATAATGTACCTTTGCCTTTTTATTTCTTTGTGGTACATACGTTATTAGCACACCTGAGGCCACATCCACCCACAACCATTGAGACCTCTGTGGTTGGGGAATGGCAGGTGCGGGGGAGAATAGAAGTGAGGAGAGACTCAGCTTTAATTGTTGGAGAGAACCACCTTTCCCTACTCTGACAGAGCTGAGTGGGAGGGAGCCCAAAGTCTTTGGTCTTTTGAGAGAGAATCAGTGAAGGGACAGTGGAGAACCGCCCATTGTGTCCGTTGAGGAAGAAATCTTGTTCCCTTTTTTCTTTTTCCCCCCAACTACTGTTGTCGGTACCATAGTTGGATTTGGGTTCAAACTGCAAGAAGCAGCCCCTGTGCCACCTGCTGTGCTGTGTGTTTACAAGGTTCCAGAAGGTCTTAGTGAGGCTGAGTCCTTCCTGGGGTCATCTCCAGGCCAATGGACCCTAAAGGAGCGAAGTGACTGAGCAGAGTGGGGCCGTGGGAGTCTAGGCAGCAGAGGTAGTAATAGCTCTATTTAACCCTTATACTCCTTAGAAATGCTAAGGGGCCTTTATATACTTGATTCTTCCTACAAATTGGTAAGCTGCTCTCCATTCTCACTGGGCCTCTAGTATGTCTATATTTTTAAATAAATTACATTCATGAACTAATAGTATTTTCTTTCTATCTATCATTTATCTCTCTTTATATATCTACCTATCTATCAAATCTACTTTATGAAGCATAGGAAACTTGAAATACAAAAGGCTTTGGATAAAAATAAACATCAGTAAAAGTTCTAATATGTTCCTTCTGATCATCAGTGGATTGTTGTGTTCCCATTTCCCTTCCCCAAAAGAACCGTGTTTACTGTTAGGAGAATAAATTCCAAATATTGTAATTTTAATTGTTAGAGCCATGTCTTTATTCCTGTTGCTACTAGTCTTGTTCAGATTAAAATCTCCATTCATCTTTATACTTTTAAAATTTGTTTGCACAACCTGTATTAGTCAGGGTTCTCCAGAGAAACAGATATATATCTAAACAGGTCTATGTCTACGTCTATGTATGTCTGTCTATATCTATGTCTGTGTCTGTCTATCTATTTATCTATTATTGAGAGATGATGAATTAAGATTTATTTTAAGGAACTGGCTCATGTGATTATGGAAACTGGCAAATCTGAAAACTTCAGGGTAGGCCATAGACTGGAAGCTGAGGTGGAATTTTTATATTATTATCTGGAGGTAGAATTGCTTCTCCTTTGGGGGACCTCAACCACGTTATGGAAGGTAATCTGCTTTACTCAAAGTTCATTGATTTAAAGGTTATATCTAAAAAAAATGCCGTCATAGCAACATCTAGACCAGCGGTTCTCAACCTGTGGGTTGCGACCCCTTTGGCGGAACGACCCTTTCACAGGGGTTGCCTAAGACCATCCTGCATATCAGATATTTACATTACGATTCATAACAATAGCAACATTACAGTTATGAAGTAACAACAAAAATAATTTTATGGTTGGGGTCACAACATGAGGAACTGTATTTAAAGGGCCAGAAGGTTGAGAACCACTGAGACGGATGTTTGACCAAACAGCTGGGCACTGTAGACTAGCCACGTTGGCACATAAAATGAACCATCCCACAACCCTATCATGATTTTCAGCTGGAACTTTTGTGGTAGCCTCCCAGGTGTCACACTTCCAGTTCACCCCCACACTGCCAGAAGGACCTTTGAAGGAAAGACATTGGTATGGGGAGTTTGTTTGGGTCTAAACAGCATAAGTAATGATAATATTCACTGCAATATTACTTTGGTGATTCCCAAAACACAGTCATGATAAAATTTAAGGCTCTGTGCAATCTGAACCCCTCTAGCTTTCTAGCCTCATCTTTCCTGTCACTGCCAGCCTTACGTACCCTTTAGTTACCCACAAGCTACTCTAGTTATTCAAATACACTGATCATTTTTCTGTATCTACATGGCTTTGCTTTATGGAACAGAGCAACACTAACATAAGGCAAAATACAAGATGATAGGAAGAAGGGACTTTAGGAGTGCAGAAATTGATATAAACAATTCAAGCTTTTGAGATCTGAAAAGCTTCATTAAGGTGAGGAAAAGGTGAGATAAATGGTGTTTGGGCTGAATTGTGCTCCCCCCTGATTCATATGTTGAAGTCTTAACTCTTAGTACATCAGAAGGTGACCATATTTAGAGACAGGATCTTTGTGGAGGTAATTAGGTTAAAATGAGGTTGTTAGGATGGGCCCTAATCCAGTATGACTGGTGTCCTTATAAAAAAGAGGAAATTTGGACATAGATATGCCCAGAGAAAAGACGATATGAGGACACAAGGAAAAGGCAGCCATGTACAAACAAGGAGAGATGCCTCAGAAGAAACCAGACCTGCTGACACCTTGATCTTGGACTCCAGCCCCCAGAACTGTGAGAAAACAAATATTTGTTGTTTGCACCACCCAGTCTGTGGTACTTTGTCATGGCAGCCCTAGCAGACAGGTGGAGTGAGGAAGAGCTCGGGGAGCCCAGCGTGAGCTAACGCTGAGAGACAAGAAACTGTAGAGTGTTATTATGTTTGTGGATTGCGCATCTGAGTTACTACTACATATAATTAAATACATAGTAGGTTACAGCTCGTTTCCAGAATGTGTCAGAAATTTGCTTGGTAATTGAATTAACCATCGGTACTAGCAACATGACTGATAACTGTTGATGTTGACCTTGATCACCTGGCTCAGGTAGTATTTGTCAGATTTCTCCACTGTAAAGTTACTCTTCTGTATTATACTCTTAAAAAAAAAATCCTATCCAAGGTTATGTTTTTATTGATTTTGAGAGAGAGACAAAGGGGGTGGAGGGAGGGAGAGAGAGGATACAGAGAGAGAAACATTGATCAGTTGCCTTCTGTATGCACCCTGTCTGGGGATTAAACCCGCAACCTTTTGGTGTATGGGACAATGCTCCAACCACCTGTGCCACCCCACCAGGGCTGTACTACACTCTTGGAAATGAAGTCACCATGTGCAGCACACACTTATGGAGTGGGTACCCTTACATTTTTAAACACAAAAAACATGTGCACCAGATTTTGAAGAGTTGGTGTGAGTGATGATGCTGCTGGATTGTGAGGGGTGACAAAAAAGAGAAAAAAAGAGACCATTCTTTTTTGTTTTATTTGTTTTGTATCAGAAAATATACCCCATAATGTGGCTATGAGAAGTAAGAAAAATGTTGATTTGAACTTTGTAATTTGTCGAATAAAATTAGATTTCAACCTTGGGCCTTCTTTGTTGATTTAACTAAGGCAGTCAGTTCTTATCTACACCTCTGTACACTTATCTGTACCACTGGCTATGCTATTGTTGCAGCCAGAAAAGGAAAGATTAAAATTGGTCAGTCTTTCATTATTAACGGAAAGGTTATAAAACATTGTTTTCTTAAAGGCAGTGCCTTGACAGTTAAATTTATTGGGCAGTCATAGTCCTTGTGGATTTTTCAGAGCCTGACCTACCCTTATCTTGGGTATACTAGTAGTCTTTTCCTAGGCTACCGTTTCTATTACATATGGGCAGAAGACTTCATTACCTCCCTCTGGTGGTCAGCTTTATAATTTCAGAAGCTTGGACAAATTTAGCAGGAAAAAACCCACCAAATTTGTGGCAATCCTCATGATAATTTTCCATAATATTTTAATACGGATGCTAAAATGACATGGTGATTGAATTGTAGCTATGTATTTTTGGATTAGAACTAATTTTTAAGTGAGGCAGTATTTTAAGGTGGTAAGTAATTATGATTAAAAGCTAGAGTGACGAAGATAGTATTCTAGGTAGAGGCTTACCTAGATACTATTATACTAAGAACCTAACCTCAGTGGCCATTTAATTTTAGCCAGGGAATTGAATTTGGCTTCTTGCAAGTGTTTTATCAGGCTGTAGGAACAAGTGCATATTCTAGATAAACTTGAAAGCGACAAAGCTTTATGAGACCAGGAGTGAGGGAGTCCTCTTGAGCATTGTTTGTCATTCCCTCACAGATTAAACTTTATCTCCAGTGCCGGAAATGGCCTTCTTTAGAGCGCCACATCAGCATTTTTTATTTCACCATGGCTTTAAAAAGATGCAGTATTTTTTTTATAGGATCCTATCTCTGGATATGCTTAGGGTGGGGTACCTTTATTCTGCCAAGGGCCATTTGGATATTTATAACATTATTCACGGGCCATACAAAATTATCAGCTTAAAAATTAGCCTGCTACATTTTGTCATACGTTTAATGAAATCACCCCTAATGCCTTGGCAGGGCCAGACCAAATGATTTCATGGGCCTTATGCGGCCCTTGGGCCGGACGTTCCCCACCCCTGGCTTAGAAGGTTGAAATAATTTACCAGAATTTGAGACAGGCTTTGCCTTATTCTTGATGGAAATACTGCAGGTACTAATCCTTTGAGTTCTAGTGTTTGTTCCATTGAGATCCAGAGGGTATGACATTTAAAGAAAGGCAACCAAATCAGTGGGAAGTTTGCCGGTCTCCTTCGATGTGGTCCTGATGAGGACTAAAGCACAACTGGAGAGGCAGCAAGCCACTAAGCATTGCTTCTGCTCAGAAGTAAGAAGGAAGAAATTCCTACAGGGGAATTGTTGTGTTAAGGCAGTAATCTATTAGTGTCTCTTGGTGATACTCTTGTTGCTTATGATACCATATACACATAGTTACGGAAAGTTGATCTGTCTTTGTTTTTCTCTATGGGGGGTACATTAAGTAACGAGGTCACCTGTCTGTTCTTGCTCACCCAGTTGCATCTGATCCACTGGAACTCCACCCTGTTTGGCAGTATTGACGAGGCTGTGGGGAAGCCGCATGGAATCGCCATCATCGCTTTGTTTGTTCAGGTAAATGGTCTCCTATGATTGTTGAATTGTTCAAATGCTTGTTTCCAATTCATTTTGCAAGTTATATACGTATATACTTACGAAATGATCACCATGATGAGTCTCTAATAACCATCTGTCACCACACAAAATGTTTACAATAATATTGACTGTATCCCCATGCTGTATCCTGTACCCTTCTTATTTATTTTATAACCGGAAGAGCGTACCTCTTAATCCCCTTCAACCTTTTTTGCCCATACCTCCACCCCTCGGCCCCCAGAAAACCGTCGGTTTGTTCTCTATATCTGAGCCTGTTTCTGTTTTATTTGTTTGTTTTAGAATTTACATATAAGTGAAATGATACAGTATTTGTCTTTCTCTGTCTGACGTATTTTATTCAGCCCAATACCCTCTAGGTCTATCCATGTTGTTGCCAATGGCAAGATTTCTTTTCTTAAAAATATATTTTTGTTAATTTCAGAGATGAAGGGAGAGAAGAGAGAGAGAGAGAGAGAGAGAGAGAGAGAGAGAGATATCAATGATGAGAAAGAATCATTGATGGGCTGCCTCCTGCATGCCCCACACTGGGGATTTGAGCCCGCAACCCAGGCATGTGCCCTGACTGGGAATTGAACTGCAACCTCCTGGTTCATAGGTTGATGCTCAACCACTGAGCCATGCCAGCCGGGCAAGATTTCATCCTTTTTTATGGCTGAGTAATATTCCTGTGTGTGTGTTTAATAATATATATTACATCTTTTTTATCCATTCGTCTATCAATAGTCACTTAGTTGGCATCCATATCTTGGCCATTGTAAACAATACTGCAGTAAAATTAGGGTTGCATATCTTTTCTAATTAGTGTTCTCATTTCTTTTTGGATATATACCCAGAAGTGGTTTTGCTAGATCATATGGTCGTTCTATTTTTAACGTTTTGAGGAGCTTCCATACTATTTTCTGTAGTGGCTGCACTAATTTACAACGCCACCAACAGTGCACAAGGGTTCCTTTTTGTCCACATTCTTGTGAATACTTGTTATTTATTATCTTTTAGATAATAGCCATTCTGACAGGTGTGAGGTGGTATCTTGTGGTTGTTTTGATTTGTATTTTTCTGATGATTAGTGATGTTGAGTATCTTTTCATTTGCCTGTTGGTCATCTGTATGTCATCTTTGGAAAAATGCCCATTTAGATAATCTCCCCATTTTTAAATCATATTGTTTTTTTTATATTGAGTTATATACATTCTTTGTATACTTTAGACACTAACCCCTTATTGGATATATTTGCAAATATCTCCTCCCATTCAATAGGTTGACTTTTTGTTTTGTTGATGGTTTCCTTCACTGTGCAAAAAGTTTTTAGTTTGATATAGTCCCATTTATTTTTGCTTTTGTTGCTCTTGTCTGAGGTGACAGATCCAAAAAAATATTGCTATGACTGATGTCAAAGAGTCTATTGACTATGTTTCTTCTAGGAGTTGTATGGTTTCATGTCTTACTTTTAACACTTGGAGTGCGGGAAACGAGTTAAGTCGGCTCGCGTGAATTGCGCGTACTCCGCGGGAGCCGTCTTTAACTCGGTTCATATAGATTTGGGGTGGAGTGCGGGAAACGTGTAAACTCGGGCCGATTGTAACTGCGTATTACCAAATATTTGTTTGTAATCCACCCTTTTGGTGGATGGAACAAAACCAAAAGACAGAGCCATCTTATATTTTGGCGGGAAATTCACCCCACACCGGAGTGTTAAGCCTTTAATCCATTTTTAGTTCATTTTTGTGTACAGTATAACAAAGTGGCTCTGTCTCATTCTTTTGCATGTAGCTGTCCAATTTTCCCAACACTGTCAATTGAAGAGACTGTCTTTTTTCCATTGTATATCCTTGCTTTCTTTGTCGTAGATTAATTGACCATATATGTAGGCTTATTTCTGGGCTCGCTACAATGTTCTATGTGTCTGTTTTGGTATGAGTACCATCCTGTTTTGATTATTTTAGCTTTGTAGTATACTTTGAAATTAGGAAGCATGATATCTCTAGCTTTGTTCTCCTTTCTCAAGATTGCTGTTTGGGGTCTTTTGTAGATGTTTTTGTTTGTGGGAGGAGATGAACTCAGGGTTTCTCTATACTGCCATCTTGAACTGGAACCCAGAGTGTTTGTTGGTTTCCCTTAAATTTTAGTAGTGGTGACATTAAACACATATACAGAGAACACTGACAATTTAAAAGTAGGGAACTTGGTCTCTGTGGGTCATGAGAGAGCAGTCATATTCATTAGTAGAAACTGGTTCATTTACTTGTTAGATATTTTTTTCAGAGTGCCATGGAGGGACTTTGGAGAAATGATTTTAAAAATGTGTTCTGAAAGCAGAGGAAAAAGAATTTGAAAATATTTGTGGACTCTGGCTTACTGCAAAATCTCAGAAAAATCAATAATGCAATCCTGTAGTGGATTTCTTTTGTTCTTTGCTGTTAATAATTTTCACTCCAAGATGATTGGAAGTGCCTTATAGAAAACATGGATAAAATAAGACGGGCAAAGACCTTGATAGATATAGTTAATATAAAGTTGGGATTTGATCTCTGTGGTGGACAAAGTATATTATATAAATTGAGTGAAATGTACAAAAGTGGACCATATGCTTTCAGAGGTAAAAATTTAATCGAAGGTGAATGATGGCCAGAGGGAAGGAGGGGCAGAGGCAGTGGGCAAAGTGGGGTGTGGGGGTAGAGACCTGTGTAGTTGTGTCAAAAATAAAAATATAAAAATGAAGTTATAAAAACAAAACAAAAAATACACCCCCCAAATGAATCTAATTCCTAAGATGAATCTTGTTAACTTTGTCTTATTATGTACTTGATGTGAAAAAAGACATAGAGGTGAAGGAAATAGCCTTCTCCCTCCTCTAACTTACAGAAGAGAAATGAAGGGCCAGAGAGGTCAAGTCAGTGTTTATAGTCACACAGCGATTTACTGTCACCAATTGGCACCAGAAACCATTCTTCCACTCTGTTGTTTCAGTGTCTCATTCTTTTAAAAAAAAATAGCAATACCAATGACCAAGTGGTCATATATGGAAGGGAAGGGACAGTTAGAGCATTGGGTGGAAAGCCAAGACTTTTGAAACCAGCATGAGTATTTCCAGGAACACGCTCCATATTGGAGGCAAGGGGAAGTCTGAGAGCATGCACACTTGTTCTAACTTTCCATACGTTTGCTCTGAGGAAAAATTCTGGTTATCTCTGTGACAGTGCCTTTCAGGAGAAAGTAAAAGTACACAAACTTGAAAGCAAAATTTCATGAAGGAAAGAAGGACTGATAAGGATTGTCAGTCGGAGCAGAGAGGAGACGGACTGTAGTGCACCCAGGGTGTCACACTTGGGTGAGGAAATGGGGGGAGGGGACTCAGGGCAGTGAGTATAGATGTCCCTTTCAAGGAGTTTGACTCAAGAAAAGAAAGACAAAAGGGATAATAACTTGGGGATGTACAGTGAAGGCCTGTTTGTTTCATTTTTGAGATTTGCCTGTGTTTTTATTCTGAGCAAAAAGAGGTAGTGAGGGTGTAAGGTTTAAAAATACCGGCAAGAAAGGGGATAATGGACATAGGAAAGTCCTGGAGGGGGCAGGAGGGCATGGGATGGAGAGCATATGGCATATGTGTATGGGTTAACCTTGGGTAACCACCCTTTATTCAAAATAGAGGCCCAAAGGAAGAGGTGGGTAGAAAGGGGATGAATTTGTAGGTGGAAAAGGAAGGAAATTAGGGAAGTTCATGCCTGATGACCTTTATTATCTCTGAGAAAGGAAAGCAAAATTATTTATAGAGCAAAGGAAATGGGGATTTGGAATTGGGTTTTGGAATAGCCCAAAGAAGAATGATAATAGACTTGACAGTTGGTGTGGGAGACCCACATGAGCCTGGTTATCTCAGATTGTACAGGACAGTGTTCTGTGGATGGTTCTCAATCCAGGTAGAGGAGCAGAGGATTCTAGCAAATTGTTCCACTGATCCGTTACATAGCAGATGATTCAGGAGGACAAAAGGATTAGGTAATGGAGAGTGTTTGCAGAGATGTCAGTCAGTATGGGCAGGAAGGGAAGGAGACCAAGCCAAGAGTCTCCTGAAAGTTGGCTCCTTGTGCTCCATTAACGGGAAGAGAGGCAAGAGGGGAGAACTGGACAGGTGAGAAGTTTTCAGAGTGAAAACAAATCCAGGGTGTGTTCCCAGGGTGGTTTGCAGAGGTAGGATGGGGCTGAGGGTCAAGAGACATGCCAGGAGGGGACGGGTCACTCACATGGATGATGAAGTCCTCCAGAGTGATGGCAGGGGGTGATGACTGCAGGGAGTGACCAGTGTGTCAGTAAATGACAAGAAGAACATGATAGCGACAGTGGCGGATGGTCCACGCAGAGGACAGCCTATGCATATGGGTCTGACGGTAGCAGCAGGGCACTGACCACAGCTTCAGTCTCATGTGAGGAGCTGCACAGTGTCCAGTCAAAGCCTGGGAGAGCTGTGACCTTGTGTGGACCCGAGGGCGTCCACATAGACCAGGAGGTGGTAGAAGAGCTTGTCAAAGATGCGGAGTTACCTGTCTCAGAAGGCATAGTGCAGTAGTTCTCAACCTTCTGGCCCTTTAAATACAGTTCCTCATGTTGTGACCCAACCATAAAATTATTTTCGTTGCTACTTCATAACTGTCATGTTGCTACTGTTATGAATCGTCATGTAAATATCTGATATGCAGGATGGTCTTAGGCGACCCCTATGAAAGGGTTGTTCGACCGCCAAAGGGGTCGCGACCCACAGGTTGAGAACCGCTGGCATAGTGGGAAATGAGGGGAGGTGGAAAAATACAAGGCAATGAAGAGCTGAAATTCTAGGAGAGGAAAGTGACCAGAGGGCTTGCATTTTGGGTGGCGGTGAAAGATGGCAAAGGTGAGAGGTAAGAAGTGAATTGGTCTCCTAGCTCCTGGTGGACTCTTGGCACCAGGTGTGCTGTCACCTCGGTTACTGTAGATTTTAGGGGTTGGGGTGTGCAGAGTGTCATCTATACTTGCTTTTTGGTGCTTGTAACCTCTGCAGACAAAAATCTGGCAGAGAAGGGAAGGGAAGAGATGGAATAGTAGCTCGAGTTTGTGGCTAGATACAAAGCTTTGCCCACAAAGTGAAGAACCTCTATAGACAGAAGGGGCCAGTGATAGTTATTGAGTGCTGCTGTATGTAAGAACTTACTTGATACTGTATGGCTTTCTGAGTAAGAACAATATGGGTGATATTAATTGACTTACATTGCACTATGCCCTGTTCTAAGGTATCTGTTTGGTTTAGTCTTATCTTCAACCTCATCGCTTTTATCCTCCGCACTGTATAGATGAGGCATAGAGGTTAAGTAAACTTGCTCAAGGCTGAAAAGTGAGTCAGAGTCAGAACTCAGGCATCCAACCCACATGACCTTGCTCCTGAACCACTACTTTATGTGGCCTTACAACATTCACATGCGGACTCTTCGAAGTTACCATGTAACGGAGATGCAGGAAATGAAAACAGCTCTAGGCACAGGCCTCCAAATGCTACACCACAGTTAAACCAATAAAACAAAGAAGGGCCCACGTCGGCTTTTGCACTCAGGAACTCAGTTGCCTCAGGTATTTTTTTCACCAGAGAATTTATTTTCTGTTTTTAGAGCCTACCTCAGGAATGGCAAACACTTGGAAAGTAAAGTCTTGATTATTGTTAACTGATTGGCATATCTTAGATTGTGCAGATTTCTTCTCTCTTTTCTTTCCTCCTTGATGCCTTTCCACTAGCATGTTTCACAATTGATTCACATAGAGAGAAACAGAGAATACAAACATTCTGATGCTATTCTAGCGCCTTAGAGGTCATTCCCTAGAAACTTATGTGGAAGAGAAAAAGCAAACAATAGCAATGATTATCTGAGGTTATAGATCCTCTCCTCTATCACCGTGCTCCATTATCCTGGACCAGTGAAACTTGGTTGAAAAGTGGAAATCAGATTGCACTTACAATTTTTAAATGTAAAGTCAAGAATACTTAATGTAAGATTTTTTTTTTAAAGTCTCAAGTTCCTTGGAGCATTGTATACAAGAGAAAGATGTCACGATATATAATGTTTTAACATAGAAAGTCATGAACAGCATATTATTATTTGAGAATACAAAGGTGATTATAGAAATTATGTGCAGTTGTAATCAAGAAATGTCCTGATGTCGGTGACTTTAGCCTATAAAAGCACATACCCACTTTTCTGAGTTAATGAAAATTTTCAACATTGATAAAATCTTTTTTTTTAAATGTTTTTATTGATTTCAGAAAGGAAGAGAGAGGGAGAGAGAGATGGAAACATCAATGATGAGAGAGAATCACTGACTGGCTGCCTCCTGCACGGCCCCCCACTGGAGATCCAGCACACAACCCAGGCATGTGCCCTTGACCGGAATCGAACCCGGGACTCTTCAGTCCGCAAGCCGACGCTCTAGCCACTGAGCCAAACCAGCTAGGGCTGATAAAATCTTTATAACAATAATCTAGACATGTCAGATGTAAAAATGGAAGGGTTTGGGCATGTGATGAAGAATTTTGATTCAGAAGTATCCTTGAAACTTTTGTATTGCTGTGTTAGATGATTTGACATATTTGCAGCCTTGTACACAGCATGATGAATTTAGATGGGTTCTTGGAAACGTCCAAGAACATATCTAATATTTGATTGTTCTATAGCTTCTGTTACAGCTTCAGTTACCTTCAGTGAATGTTTCCCCGGTTATTCATGAAAAGGTCATTGATTTAGTCCCTAAGAAGGAAATTCAGGTGGACTTGATCCTCGCTACTATAATTAGTTATTTTGAGCAAAAGCTAAGTATTTAATACTTTTGTGGTTAATGGCATATGCTTTATATATTTCAGATAGGAAAAGAACATGTAGGCCTAAAGGCTGTGACCGAAATCCTCCAGGATATTCAGTATAAGGTAAGTCACTGTTTTAAAGAAATTAAAAATCCTGGTTGTCTAAGAGGTCGGTCCCCAAAGGCCACCCTCAGGCTGGAGGATTCACTAAAAGGACTCACAGAAAAGCTGTTATTCTCATGGTTGTGGTCTATGGCAGCGGAAGGAAACAGATGAAAACCCAGTGCAGTGAAAGGCTCATGGGCATAAGTCAGGAGAAACCAGGCACAGTTTTCAGGTGGAGTGGCATGGGGACACCCCTATTCTCCCAGCAGTGATGTGGCATAACACGTTTGAGGTATTTATTGCCAACCAGGGAACCTTACTTGACCTTGGTGTCTAGGGTCTGCATGTCTGTGTGACTGACCTCAGCCACTCTGACCCCAGCCCTTCCACCCCGATCCTCTGCTGAACTAGAGATTCCTCATAAATCACATATTAGGTTCAACTTATCTGGTCAAACTGGTACACCATGGGCCAAGGTCTCTGGCACACACAACACTCTTTAAGGCAGAATATTCCAGGGGCTCAGAAATGGTCAGCCAAGGGCCAGTCTTTTTTTTTTTTTTTTAACAGCTATTTCTTTAAAAAATATTTTTTGAAAAAAATGTGTTGTTGTTTTACTTTTCCATTACAGTTGTCATACAATATTATATTGACAAGGGCCAGTGTTGAAGACAGGCCATTTTTTGAAATGTGAAGATTTGAGCAACCCAGGCCTGCTGGGTGAACACTTTCCGCCAATTGGTTATAGGAAAGTTGTGTAAACAAAATGAACAAAAACTTTGGCAACCTAACCTCACAGTACTTAGGTAAAAAAAAGAAAAGAAAAATAAAGACAAGTACACATAAGCAAAAGGATAATGTATTTCACAGAAGGTGATGAAGATTGATTTGACCCTGCAGTGACTCAGCCTAGCATTGCTGGGAAGCCAAGTTCTGTTGTAAACAGTACCTTTATGCTTCCATTAAGTCAATAGAATTCAGTGGCCTTGGAGGCGACCCAAAGCCAATTCTGAAATCCATCTGGGAATGAAGTCTGATTAGCTCTACACTAGCACAAGCCCATTGCATCTTGAACCAGACAGCCTCTCACAGAGATCTGAGCGGCTCAGAACGAATTCAGGCACCAAGGGAAAGCACCGAGTAGTCAAAGAAGCTGGGAAAAAGGGTGTGAGGACATATTTTTGACTGACATTTGTCTGAAGAAATTTGGTGGAGAAATTTTCCTTTATTTCTTCAGCTAATATGACATAAGTCAGGAGGATGGTGGGAGGCAAGTAAGCTGGCTTCTTTTTGAAAAAAATAAATATATTTTTATTGATTTTTTAGAGAGAGGAAGGAAGAGGGATAGAGAGATAGAAACATTGATGAGAGAGAAACATCAATTGGCTGCCTCTTGCATGCCCCCCACTGGGGATCGAGCCCACAACCTGGGCATGTGCCCTCTTGGTTCACCAGTTGATGCTCAACCACTGAGCCACACCGGTCGGGCAAGCTGGATTCTTTAATACAGTTGTTCTCAACCTTCCAAATGCCGCGACCCTTTAATACAGTTCCTCATGTTGTGGTGACCCCCAACCATAAAATTATTTTCGTTGCTACTTCATGACTGTAATTTTGCTACTGTTATCAATCGTAATGTAAATATCTGATATGCAGAATGTATTTTCATTGTTACAAATTGAACATAAAGCATAGTGATTAATCACAAAAACAATATGCAATTATATATGTGTTTTCCGATGGTCTTAGGCGACCCCTGTGAAAGGGTCATTCGACCCCCAAAGGGGTCTCGACCCACAGGTTGAGAACCGCTGCTTTAGTGAGTCAAAGAGTCTCTGAAAGTAAGGAAGAGGAGATGTAGAGGTTAGGCATTAACTTTCTCTGTTATGTCTGCATGCACAAAGTAATCTTATAAGAGATATCCAACTGCTGTGACATGTCTGTCTGCCTCAAAGGCCTGAGCAATTTAAATAGCACTATTTACAATACTGGCTATTAATATGATTATTGAATAAGGGCACAAATACTTTTCTTTTCCCCCTTAAATATATTTTTATTGATTTCAGAGAGTAAGGGAGAGGGAGAGAAGAGAGAAATATCAGTGATGAGAGAGAATCATTGATTGGCTGCCTCCTGCTCACCCCTCACTGGGGATGGAGCCCGCAACCTGGGCATATGTGTCTTGACCGGCAATCAAACCTTGAACTCTTGGTTCATAGGTTGACACTCAACCACTGAGCCACTCCAGCTGGGCACAATTATTTCCTTTGAAAATGAAATTTAGCTTTGATAAAAATGGATTGAAAGAGAATGTTTTCATGTGAGCGACAGATCTCCCTCTCTGGAGGAGGAGATCTGAGAGCTGAAATACCAAGTCCAAATGGGACAAAATGAGAATTTGGGAGGCAGGTTGTGATGCCAAGTTCAAAGTACCAGGAGGAAAGTCAAGTCAAAATAATTACCTGAGCCAGGGTTCAGGCATTTTACTCCAAGGCTCAAGTCTCTGGTATGGATGTGATAGGAGCAGGAAAAGTAGGTGACAGAGGACAGACAGTCACTAGATAGGCAATTGTACATTTCACACCAGGAATTACAGGGAAAACTGAACTGTGGTAGAAAAGGAAATAGCATAGACTCAGCAGCAGTGTCTTGTTGGACCAGTCACTGTTGTTCCAATGAGAAGATAGAAGGAGACACAAATCTATGGGGTCCAATGATGTCCTTTAGAAAAGATGTCAACTGGGATTCTTTAGTGCTAATAACTCTATTGTAAAATTAAGAAATTTTATGTTAACATGGGATATATATATATTTTTTATTTTTTAGGGGAAGTCTAAAATAATACCCTGCTTTAATCCTAACACTTTATTACCAGGTAAGTGTACATGGATGGATTGTATAAAGATGAATTTTAACTATGGCTATGCATTTATTGCTTTCCTCAGAATATATAACTATGTATTACTAGTTAATAAAGGTTTTTTACAGTATATATATTCTCTGTGGTAGGTACCCCTTACCTAAACATGGGAGTAAACCTTTTGAAATAAATACTTTACCACTAGTTTCATTAATCATGAAGGGTTTCTTTTTTGTAAAAATTGCTACCTCTATGTAAGCACCAGCATAATAACGTAACCTTGGTATACTTCTGGAATTGATCAGTGAAGTTTTTATTAATCTATAGAGTGAAATAAACTTTACATCTAATTTTATAAGGTAACCTCTTTGCAATGATACTTAGTTGTTAATTCTGATTATTTAGGTCTGCCCTAATAGGTAGGGATTATGTATAAAATACTCAGAATATAATTTGTAGTTAAAGGCTATTTTGTACAAAATTTTGGTCTTTACAAATCTCTACCCAAATTATGTGAAATTTCTTGGTGTTTCAAATGTAACCAAATAGGTCGATGCATCGTATCTTCTAACTTTACATTTAATTGCTCTACAACAAACCAAACATTTACCCATCATATTCAATCATGAATTTCTCTAATGCAGAGCTAAAGGTTTTCATCAGAATAAGAATAGTTTATTTTATCCTATCATAATATGCTTTTAAAAATTTGTTGTTAAAAAAGCAATACAGATAGAAGTAGCTAGAGCAGAATGGTTGAAAACACTGGCTTTGAAGCCAGGATGCTTTGGTTGGAATCCTGGCTCTGCCAGTTATTAGCCCAATGACTTTGGACAAATTATGTAACCCTTCGTGATTCAGTTTCCCCATCTGACACATGGAGCTAATAATAGGAACTATCGCATTGGTTTGTTGTAAGGGTTAAATGAGTTAATGTTGAATAGTTCCTCCCATGTAGCAAGCTTTGAATAAATATTAGATGTAATTAGCTAAGTCCTCCAATAAAGTAAAAAAAAAAACAACAACTATGGGTACACTTTTGCTAAAGTGACTAAATTTTACATATATGTACACATCAAGTGTATATGTATTAAGTTTATATATCAAGTTTATATAGCATATTTGGATAGAAATCACTATAAATAATAGAGGACTCATCGTGTTTCCCATCAATTATTTTCTTTATGATGATTAGTTAAGAATACATGTGAGGTTCTAGTTTAAAAATGACATCAGTCTGAGAAGTGTTATTTGGACAATTTGTAATTTTGAAAATTATTGTGGGAGTCTCACAATTATGATTAATTAACTTGCCTTTGTGTGACATGTCCACGTGGTTGCACAGATCCTCTGCTGCGTGATTATTGGGTGTATGAAGGCTCGCTCACTATTCCACCTTGCAGTGAAGGTGTCACCTGGATATTATTCCGATACCCTTTAACTATATCCCAGCTACAGGTGAGTGCGGTACCTTAAGTCTTTTAGAGTGAAGTTCTGAGTTAAAGGTTACATTTTGTTTCTGTAAAAGGGAAATGTCGGTTTTATGTTTTAACTCTCTTTAGATCAGTCACTTCTTTGCAGATGAAAGTTAAATGTCTCGAACTTGTGAAAGCAATTGAAAGGTCAAGGATGAACAAAACCCAGCCATCCCTTATGATCTGTATTTTAAAAGTCAGTTTTTATGGAGTAAATAGAAGTCACTGAAATAGTCAAACTTTTGATTAGTCTAGTTATTCCTTTATGGGGGTTTTCTCAAGCATGGAGAGGAGAAAGGCCTTGGGAGTATAGCGAGAATGCTGGTTATTTCTGTAAGTCACACGTGGGCTTTGAAATAGCTCTTCTTATGCTAGCACAGGAAGAATATGTATAAAGAAGGATGAGGTTTTTAGAAAGAATACCCTGGGAAGTTCTGGATTGTTCCGTAACCCCACTTTTGGTCACCTCCCTCCCCCACTGTGGGCTCTGAATAGGTGCTATAGATGCTAACACACAGGGAAATTACCTGGTGGAGCATGAGGTAACATAACTGTAATGTTTTTAAACAGGGACTTTGATATTATTATAAAAGAGGTACTTTACATGTCTCCTATCCTCCAGGGGTCGATGGGATCCCTGTTCTAGAAGGCTATATTTTTCCTTCATGATGAACCTCAAAAGGCTTGAGCAATACTCTGCAGCATGCATGTCAAACTCGCGGCCCGCGGGCCACATGCCTCGTTTTTATTTGGCCCGTGTTAGCCTTTGAGTTTGACATGCTTGCTCTACATAAACCAAGTTTTCTTTAATAATATTTTATTCTATTCCCTGCCACTTTATAAGTTCACATTTATTGAGTTTATGGTTGTAATTGAGTTTATGGTTGTAAATATTTAGAGTTTGAGATACGTTTGAGATATCCAAGAAGGGGGTATAATATATAGGTGGTGGTTGAAGCCATAGTGTAGAAGAGGAGAGAAAAGAAGTGGTGCAGAGAACTGAGACTGGCAGTCCTAAGGGGCACACCTTGGATGAGTTGCCCCCAGGGAAGGTTTGAGAATTTTGAAAGTCAGGAGGTTGATGTGATGTCTGGAAGCCAGGGGAGTTGTGAAGTTCAAGAAGAAGGGAGTAGAGAGATGAAGAGTATCAGATTCTGAGCACACATTAAGTTAAAGACTGAAAAGTTTAATTGGATTTATCCCCAGGGAGAGATCTCAGACTTGGGGATGAGATCGAAGAAGCTTAGGGTCTACAGCAGGGGTGGGCAAACTTTTTGACTCGAGGGCCACAATGGGTTCTTAAACTGGACCGGAGGGCCGGAACAAAAGCATGGATGGAGTGTTTGTGTGAACTAATATAAATTCAAAGTAAACATCATTACATAAAAGGGTACGGTCTTTTTTTTTTTTTTTTAGTTTTATTCATTTCAAACGGCCCGCGGGCCATAGTTTGCCCACGGCTGGTCTACAGTCATGTGTATTTAGCATTACAGTTTTTGTTTAGGGGTAATTTTCTTTAAAAGTGCTAAAAAATTTTAGTGAAAATAAAGTTTTTCTCTATAACAATAAATTTCTATTTTTTTTTTTAAAACTAAGGATTAACCTTCTGAGCCACAAGAAAGAAAATTCTTAATTTCACTTAGAATTCCATTAAGGATTTCCTTGCTAGTCTGGTGTTGGGAATGTAAATGTTGAGCTGTATTCTGAATGTTACCTGATATTCTGTACACGTGAGATATAATGTTTTACTCTCACATTGACCAGTGTGTTATGCTAAACTCCAGAGATACTACATTGTGCCTTTGGCTCTCACTGGCTTCAAAGAAAACCTTGCTTTGTATCGTCCCTCTAAGTAAGGCCAGTGACAACCTAACTATTGCTCACTAAGTCATGTTCCTCGATAAAGAGGAGGCTAAGCCAATAATCTCACCTGCTCTGGAAAATAGATGACTTTTGCCCTGGTGGGTAGAGCATTGGCCTGTGCACTGGTGGGTCTCGGTTCGATTCCTGGGCAAGGGCATGTACCTGGGTTGCAGGTCTGATCCCCACCCTCGGGTGCTTGTGGGAGGCAACCAATTGACGTGTCTCTGTCACATTGATGTTTCTCTCTCTTGCTCCCTCTCCCACTCTCCTCTTCCTTCTATCTCTAGAATCAATGGAAAACATATCCTCACTCCTTGAGTGAAGATTAAAAAAAAAGAAAGTAGGAAAATAGATGACTTTTCAGTTAGCTGTAGCTTTTCAAGAGAATAATATTTAGGTGCAGTTAGCACAAAGCTCCTGATAGCATCTGTTCAGAGGGCAGCAATGCTAAAATGTGAACATGTGCGTGCGCGCGCACACACACAGAGGCATGTATATTAAAATGCAATTTATAGTGATTTAGAAAAAAGTTATAATCTTAAGAGAATATAAATCATTCTGTTCTTAAGTGTCTCACTGTTGCTGCTCATACAGTTTCAGAGAAAGCAGAGCTAACATAGAAATAGTCTAGAGAAAACAGTAAAAAGGAGAATCTGAACCAAGAAAAATTGAGGTCTCATATTATTGCACTTAAGAGCAGAAAAAGAGATAAAGATCGAGCGAATGAGAATTGATATATAAGATAAAAGGAATGGCGAATAGCTGGTGATATTGAGAAATATGAAACTTGTATTGAGGAAAAAATGTTTCATTTTACATCATAGGGTTAACATATGTGATTAAGCTGTTGGTATTAGTGTGGAAACAATTGCTCTCTCGAATACGTCATCTGCCACAGGATAATAATGCCTGCACCAGCCACATTAAAGAGACAAGCTCCAAGTCATAACGCTTTCCTGTGAAGTGCACAGCAGCTGGACGCAAGGAGGAGTTGGAGGAGTTTTCTGCTGAAGTGCACGGCTGACAGTTCCACCCATCTGACAGTTCCACCCATCTGACAGTTCCACCCATCTGACAGTTCCACCCATCTGACAGTTCCACCCATCGTGGAACATTCCCATCTTCCTGAGAACCAGGAATTCTAGACTATGGAACTGGAAGTGCCTGCTTAGTTGACGTTTTCACATTATGCTTGGTTAGCATACTATACGTTAAGGAAAACACGCACAATTGGATGGATTTGAATGAGTGTAATTTTTTTTTTAATGATCAGTCACCATTAAATGACTTTAAGCTAAACAGTGTTCTAAGCGTTAGGAAGCCAAAGTAAAAAAATTTTTTCAGCTCTATTATTACGTTTGGAAATGAGCTGCCATGGACATACTAATGTCATTGGATCCAACACCAGAAATTGTAAGACACATTAAAATGTGAACAATACTCAGAATTGATAAAATGTGGTATTTTGCACTTGATCTTAGCCAAAAGGCCGAGAAGCGATAAAAATGTGGTATTTTGATATAATGGCATATGTACAAGTATGTGCGCACACTTAAGCACACACACATGCACAGACATGGATTGATCATTAAGTTTTACTCTCTTCCTGCTTCCCCCCCCTTTTTCTGCATCCCCCCCGACTAATCTACTTCTATTTCTTAACTTACCTACCATCTCAAGTCTGTCTTTCTTATTTCCTGTCCCTTTCAACATCAAATAACATCAATGAAACAAAAGATTATGGATTATGTTCATTGTTTTTCACTGTGTGGATCTATGTCTGTTAGAACTTGGAAAACCATTTTCAATTGTGTTTCTTTTCATCTTACCTCCTTTTCATCCTGCCCCATTCCCTATCTCCTGTGGATTGAGAAGTGGGACTCTTCCTAGCTTCCTACAGCCCGAGTGAAGGCAGGGTGTGTGCCTGGCCTGTGGGGCCTGGGAGCACACCTGGCCCTGGATGGCCGAGGAGGTCTGATTACGCCCAGGACTCCTCAGCAGGCCTTTCTTGTTCTTGTGTTCCTCATGGGATTTGAGGGGCTGTTAACCCTAAAACCAAGTTGTTGCAGGGCCACTGCGTGGTCATGTTTGAAAATGAGTTCAAGTGCTTTGGAACGATTGTTGTAAATTGTTGCCTGTATCCGTGATTCTCAAACAGTCTCCTGGAGGTTGCTGAGCCTGTCTCCAGATTTGCTGGCTCAGCAGGTCTGGGCAGGAACTTATTCCAGGAAGCACACTTTGGGAACCACTGTTTTTTTATCTACCGGCATTTATCTCCAGCTGTAATTTCAACCAGCACTCTAGCACCAGAATGTCGTTTCTGACAGCTGGCACTAGGCCAGCCCTGTCCAATGGAAACGTGATATGAGCCAACTACTAGATTAAAATGTCTAGTAGCCACAGTAAAGAAAGTCAAAATAAAAGGTGAAATTAATTCAAGTAGTCTATTTTAACACAGTTTATCCAAAGTATCATTTTAACGTGTAATCAATATAAAAAATCACTGATACGATTTTTTGCATTATTTTTTCACATTGACTTTCAGAGTGTATTCTGCACTTCAGCAGATCTCAGCTTAGACTAGCGGCATTTCAAATGCTCAGTAGCCACATGGGGTGGGTGGCCACTGTTGGACAATGCAATTCTAGGACTTTCTCCTCCGAGACACCCTATTTCCTTTCTTACAATGCGCTATTTTTAGGCACTTGTGGGAAATTTTGTATATATTTCCTGAGTGTCTTTCATGGTAGAGAGCACATCCCTGTAGTTATATACTCTGTAAATGTGCAATTTTTGAGTAAGTTTCAGTATGTGTGGCTTATCAGTCACGATCCTAAAGTGAGGATCATGTGGCTAAGACCAGGCTGGGGGTTGGAGTGAGAACACAGTTTCCATCAATGTTCCGGGGAAAGGACGGGCTCTGAGCTCTTCCTCAAAAAAGAAAAAGATCAGATTAAAGAGTAAATGATGGAATGAGGGTTGGTTAATGGGTGAGAGGTTAGTACGAAAGGGGAAGCGATGATTTGACAGATGGGGTAGAAGAAAATGAAACAAACAAAAACAGCAAGGCTGCATGCAGTACCTGAAAGGTGGATAGCTATATACAATCTCACTCTAGGTACATACGTGTATAGACTGTTTAAGTACAGTTTGCTTTCGGCCTTTTTATTTGATTGCTACCATAAGGAATTATATTATTCGAATTCACATATCACCATAGTCTGATGATAAAAGAAAATAAAATGAGAACACCAACTTTTATGTGTTAGTTTTCTATTTTAACTCCAATTAAATGATAACCAATGATATGTAAGTCCCAATAAGTCAGTTGGAGGATGTACATAGGATTGTGGGAACTCCTGAAAATAATTAGTGCCAAACCTCAAACCCTGGACATTAGCCTTTTAAATGCACTCATAAAGAAAGCAGCTTAAAAGCTGAACTGTGAGTGAATAGCCTGGTTGGCTCATGAGTCAGTGAAGGTTGGAATAAATGTCTTAACTTAGATCAATTGGAGTGCAACTCAGGTTCAGAGAACAGTGAATATTCAGCGCTGCTGCCTTCAGAAGATGAGGACCTGTCCCTGAGGAGTGGGATCCCTCTTTTACATTGTTTAAAAACAAATGCCATGCTCAAGTAGAGTGGCATTAAAAAATCAACGAAATCACACATACGGATATATATGATAATGATAGTCTCTCTACTGCCTGACATTTGAATTGTGTTGAAGACTTTTATCCTGGGATATTATTTTTTTAATTTCTCACTATCTCTCATTTCAGCACGGGATAACACAGTATGCACTTGAAACCATTTGAAGTGACTAAAGGGTTTGAGGGGTGGTTACTTCAGAAACATTGGCATTTCAGAAAGACGTGTTTTTCTGTCGATGTTTGAAGTCTTCAAAGTGTTGCTATGATCAGAGAAAAGCATTTCTTGTGAAATAGCTCTCTCCAAGAACACAGTGGTCTGAGACTGGCTCGCTGTTGATTCAGATCATCTCTAGAAGCTGTTCTCACTGAAGGTGTGCAGGGGAGGCCTGGAGCTTGAAAGGTTTATCTTCAGTTCACAATACGTAAATATAAAGTTAACCTCGCTTTAAAATAAGCTTCAAAGCCAATGAAAGTGGAGAATTTCTTAAAATACGTTGAAGCAGTCAAGTTTCTAGTCCACGTTGCTCCTCGGGGACCCTGCCCAAGGTTACAGGTTCTGGTGGCAGCTATGACGTATGGTTCCATGGAAACTGAATGCGAGGAGGAGGATTTTCGATTTTCCCAGTCAACTGGTTTATTTTTTTCAGTCTACTTTCTGCATATAAAATTGGAGTTAAATATTTATCCAAAATGCTAAAGGTTTGACTTCAAAAGAAGTTGGCTAGTAGATATCAAATACCATGTGCTTGGACACTATGCTGAATACTTTGCATGAAATATTCTATTTACTTCTAACACCATCTTTGCCAATACTGTCATTTCATCTCCCTCGTACACATGTGGAAACTGAGGCTTAAAGAGGTCATGTGATTTGGTTGTTAGGGTCTTAGATGGCAGAGCCAGGATGAGAACGGCCTTATGATGATGAGCCCACTGCCTTCACCTTCATAATCTTCTTTTTGAAAAAGCATAGGATCCTCTCACTGACCGGGGTCCTTCCCACTCTTCCCCTAGGGAAAACTGAGTGAAATACATTCCACAAATAAGTACAGGGGATTCTCATGCAGCCTCAGCTCTAGAAACCTCCCAGACGTGGCCTGTGATAATCCCCACTCATATCCCCACTCGAAGACCCTGAGAAGGTCTAGTGACATTATGTAGATTAAACAGCCAATTGCTCATCTGACTGGCATCTTTATACAAATATAGATATTACTTTAAAAAAACAGGACAGTTGACACCTAGACTTAGGAAATCAAACAGTATTGGAGACATGGAAAAATAAAATATTGGAAGTCAGATTTCTAACCTGGGTTCTGATCTAACAAGCCATTTAATTTGCCCCCAACTCTATATCCCAACATGTATATGTGGGGATTGGATTAGAATCTTGTGAGATTCAACTCCTTTGGGGTCAGTGAACTTCTACTTCAGAAAAAATGCACAGGTAAAAATTGTGCATGTCATTCAGGGATTTCATGGGCCCCCTCAAGTCTGTAGGAGATTTTAGATTTTTATTAGTAACCCTGTGTCAGTTGATTCCTTGCATTTTCTTTCACTTTATGAATGTGAAGACTCTATGGCTGTGCTGTATGAAGAAACCTTTGTGGATATAACCCTCTGATACACAATGGACTTTTGGTGGATTGATGCTGATCAAATCACATTTGCTCAGCATCCATGCAGGATGTAGGTTCTCTTGATTGGACTAGAATTTCTGAAGAGGTGGCCATGGATCTGGGAAAAAAGCAGGTGGGCTTGGAAGTGTCAGACTTGGTTAATTTGGAAACTTTCTTAACCTTTTTAGTATCAATTTCTCCTTTTGCATAAGGAATGAAGACTGAGTCACGTGACTCTGAGGCATTTAAATGAAATAGCAGATAATGAGCCCTGTAGATAAGTCATTCCCTATAGATGGGAATGAGCCTGGCGGTGTTCCTCACATGTCTGCTTGTTGCTTACATACTTTTAAAAGGGTCATGTCTGTCAGGCTATGGGCTCTTAGGGGGTACAGACCTGGCAGGTCAGAGAAACTGCAGTGTGGCTGATGGGAAAGGCCCTGGGGACTATGGGAACAACCTTTTCACAGGTAAAGGGAAACCTTGGGACCTGGAGAGGCCACCTGAGAAAGGGAAATGAACTTGAAAATTGATATTGTTAAGGGAGGGAGTTGGGCTTAAAGTTTTGGGAAATTAGAGGTATTCTTTGGACCTGCGTTCTCCAAAGGGCTGGAAGAGCAGCAAAGAGAGTCTTTTGATGAAGGAAACCTCCATCTAATAAATCTAACATTTAATCAGTGTTAACGTACAGTAACATCAGAACTTATTAATTAAAGATATACTTGGGAAGCCTATGAGAGCACGTTCATCCATTCACTCTTTCTTATTATCCTACTGGCAAGCATGAAAAATTTTTGAGAGAGGTGCATATCATATTTGCATTAATAAGTTCAGCAGGTTTTCATGATACCTGTACTTACTTCTCTGGTCTTCATTTTTCTTGTGCAATGATCATGGCTAATGTCTTAGGTCTGGAAGAATTAAGTTTTTTTTCCTGTTTTTGAAGTTTAGTTTTAATTTTCTCTTTTAATCGTGGCAATGTATGCATATTTTAAATCATGCTTGTTAATGTCTGGTAAAGGATTAATCTATATTTTTCCGCTTTTATTTTCAGATTGAAGAATTCCGAAGGCTGAGGACACATGTGAAGGGGGCAGAACTCGTGGAAGGCTGTGATGGGATTTTGGGAGACAATTTTAGACCCACGCAGCCACTTAGTGACAGAGTCATCAGAGCTGCATTTCAGTAGCCAAAGGGAACAGGACCAAGCCCGGCTTCCTCCGGTACGTTCAGGTTAAGTAAGGACGTGGGCACATGGTTGTGTAAACCTACCAGACCAAAGGTACTCTCGTGGTGATCCTGATAATTCAGCAATATGAATTTTATTTTCATAACATTTATGACACATTCTCAAGCCCTGTTAATTTAGAAGTGAGGTGGCTTTAAAAAAAATTCCATGCATTGTTGAAAAGAATCTGCAGTCCTCAGATTTTCCCACTAGAGCAGCCTTTCATTCCAAATGTTGCTTTAGTACGGATTCTCCTAAGGACAGAGAAACAGGGATATGCAAGCACCCCTTTAGTACTGTACTGTACTGTGTTAAACCCCTGAAGCTTCAGCAGTCACTGCCTCATGACGGAGGAACGTGAAGGAAGGGACTTGAGGAGTGTGTGAGCTTCAAAGCAGATCCTCATTGTCTGACACAGATTTGATTGTATTGTTTTTGGGGTAGGAGACGGCAGATCTGTCATGAATGAAAATACTTGTCCTATGGAAGTGCTATTATTTGATAATCAAGAAGCACTGGTTAATAATCAGAATATGGTATTTTTGATTGATTAAAACATAATATATATTTTAATATATTAAATTCAATATATGGATTCCTTATATTAGCTAACAAAATAAAACATCATAAACATGGGAAAGATAAAGTCTACAAAAATGACTGTACACTGCATTATTTCTTTACCTTGTAAATTGCCTGAGTGTGTAATAGGTCAGCACATGGCCGGCAAGCCACTGCTTCCCGTAAGAGAGTCGTATCTGTTGAAATAGTTTTCTAGGTAAGCAGGACAGAGCTTTGACTGTTTATTGGACCATTGGGAGTAGATAGTCACATATTAGGCGAGCGGTACAATGAGTAGAAATCTCTGGCGTCCAGGAGCTCACAGTCTCATGAGCTAGACAGTCAACACAGGAATTGCAAAAGGTGATCGTTTGTCCATGTGTTTCCCAATCCAGTCTCCGTGCCTCTCTTTTATTACTACACTGTATGTACCCAGTACTCCAGCCAGACTGTCTGTTTACATCTGTGATTGTGTTTTGCTCACACAGTCCTTCCCGTCCCGCCTTTTGCCTATTGAAATCCTTGCTACCCTCCAGGCCCAACTCAAATACCACTCTCAGCAGGAATTCTCTGTTTCTCCTCTAAATTGTACCTCTCCTTTCACATTATTTCTCCCATTTAACTTAGTGTATTTCTTATTTTTTGGGGTTAGATTTCAAATTTCTTGAGGATTGAAACATGTTTATTTTACTTTGAATCCATCATAACACATAACACTTTGTATCTTGAATGTCCAGGCAAATTAGAAGTTCCTTAGCACTATAATATCCTATATTCCAGTCATTCATTCATTCTCAGTTTCTATGTTATACACTACAGTGCCTTTCACCCTCCTAGTTTTGAAGTTGATGACCAGGCAAGTTGCCTTTGGTAGGAATGAGAAGAAACTTGTAGTAACTCCATGAATGAGAACAGAGAAATGTAGCGATGGAGATTTCCGATAGTGGGAATATCTTTTGGAAAGGTCCCAAGGGGCTGCTCCTTGTGGAGGAGGTAAAAATTTAATGCACTGGGGTACATAAAGGAAGACCCTGTGAGCCTGAAGAGAGAAATCAAAGCAGGAAGTTAGGCAGGGCCCATTCTTAGAGGGCCTGCCAGCCATGTGAAAGCATCTTTATTTTATTGTTGATGCATTGAGAACTTATACAGACTTTTACTAAGGGGAGTGGCTTGATCCCATATATGTTTTCAGTAGATCACAGGGACTGGAGATCGAATGCACTGGATTATAGTGGAAGGACATTGCAGAAGTCAGCTAGGTGGCCAAGGTGAAAGACATGGAGGCTCGTATTCTGACAAGGAGCAGTGGAAGGAGAGAGATGTTCATGTATGTGAGACAGACCTTGAAGGTGATAGCTAGTGACAGATTGGATGAGATAGAAGAGGGTGGAAATATCAAAGATAAGTTTTGTGTGGATAGAGTGTAATTGAGTGACAATAGGAAAGCTGGAGGAGGCTCTGTTTGGGATAGAAAGGAGGATTAAGAGTTGAGTTAGGATGGTAATAGCTCGGAAGCCCCGGCGGCTGGGTCTCAGTGAGGCAGGGGAACCCGAGTCTGCTGCCACCACCACTCCAGCCTGTTCCACGTGGCCCATGTGGGCACCGTCTTTACTGTGATGATCCCTGGCTTCCAGATCAACCACTGGGACTTCTTTGGGCCCTGGAAGCTTACGGCAGCCAAGACCCACATCATGAAGTTGGCAGAGGTGGAGAAGTTAGCTGATGAATTGCATGTGCCATCTACCCCCGGAATGATGTTTGGTGACAACATTTTAAGAATGCAGCATGGTTCTGCCTTGGGATTGAGTCAATACTACAGATGTTTTAAGATGTGTAAACAACTGCCAAGGAAGCTTCAAGTAGCCTGGATGGAGGGTGAACATTCCAGGGAGGTTATTAAACCCTCTGATTGAACCTATGCAATAGATTATAAGGGAACATTACATGGAGAATCACTCAAGTTAAAGATAAATCATATAGATACAGTGCAGTTGAAAGCCAGAGAGCAGATTAAGTTTTTTGCACAAGTTCCCTTGTTTGAGGATGAACTTCATGATCATGGAGTTTCAAGTCTAAGTATGAAAATTAGAGTAATGCCTTCCAGCTTTTTCTTGCTGTTGCAGTTTTTCTTGTGAATTGATGGCGGGCTTATCGGGATGAATGACAGGAGACTTTACCATGAGGCCGACAAGACCTACATGTTATGAGAATATACATCACGAGAGAGCAAAATTGCTAATTTAATCCACGTTTCACCTTCCCTCTTCACGGAACCTAATGAAATATCACAGTATTTACAGATCAAGGAGGCAGTTTGTGAGAAACTAGTATTTCCAGAAAGAATTGATCATAACCCCACAGACTCACAAGAAAATGCATCTGTGGAGTAGAATGTGATGTACCATATACTCACCGTGGAATCTGATGGAGACCTTGGCTATGTGGATGAGGGAATTTTTACTATGCGTCTTATCTAGGTGCAGATTTTTCTGTAGCCTTAAAGGGGGAGTATAAAAAAGATTGTTTTAGGCAGGTTCCACTCCCCGCCACCCTCCCCAAAAGAGCTGAGTTGGCGCATGTTGAATGAGAGATGCCTGTCACTCACCAGTAGTGGATCCACCATGAAGGTAGCTGGAATTTTGAGAGTGGAGATCAGAGAAGAGGCCTAAACTGAATATGGGGGTTGTTGGCATAGAGATTAAATATATATGTATAATGTCCTCATGCTGCATAGGCATTAATTCATTAAATGTTCATACACTCTTTGAGTCTTTACAGGTACATTAACCAAAGCGCAGAGAAGTTAGGTCAGTTGCCCAAAGTAATGCAGTTGTGCAGCAGAACAGAGGTCAGAGTGTCCCCACACTGGCAGTCAGGGTGGAGGATGCTGAGCAATGCATGTTGCCACGGGACAAAGTTGAACGTCAAGGGAGGAGGCAGAGATGCTATGTGATGGCAGAGGCTGCAGCAGCAGAGAGGGGATGAGACTGAAGGAGACTTTAAAAAAATTGACATGTACTTGACATATAACATTGTGTAAGTTGAAGGTGTGCATGGCATTGACTTGATTCACTTACATATTGCAATGTGATTACCATTGTAGCATTGGCTGACAGTGTCACATATATATCATTTCTTTTATTGTGGTGAGAATGAGACTTCTTTTTTTAAAACAAAAGAAATACTAGAACTTTTTTATGCTGAGGAGGGTGAGCCAGCAGATGGAGGGGCTGAAGATGCTGTTTCTCAGGGGTAGTCCTAGCTGTGAAGTGTCTGAAAAGTTGAAAGGGGATGAAATCCTAAGCAGATTTGTAGATTGACTTTTGTAAGAGAACGGGCACTTCATGCGCTTTAATAGGAAGAAAGAAGAGGTGGTGGTTTATAGACACAGTGATTCTGTGACTTGCTTTTATTATTTAAAGAAGAATGGGGTAGCAGCCAGGAGGGACCAGAGCAGCAGGGAGGATGGGAGATTGGAGCAGGAGAAGGGTGCAAGGGTGGGCTCACAGGAGCCACCCAGTAAGAGGGGCAGGAAGTGAGGTGTGATGAGGTTTGTTCAACATGAATATATGACTTTCTCCAGCCTAGGCTTAATATACTGTCTGTGATTACCAGTGACTATAAATGACCCTTTTTAATGAAATAAGGTTATCTTGAATTTTTGATCTATATCCTCCTAGACCAGAGGTGCCTCTCTAAATATCTAAATAACCATCACTGTTTTATCTCTCTTACACACACACAGCACAAGACTTTAATGTTAATGAGATTATGTATATTTCAGATACTTCATATTCACGGTATGATAGGAAGGTAATGTATAATTTTGAAAGTCTTCAGTCAATTACAATTTAGGTATTTTGAAAAGGAGGATGGATTCATGTCCTTTTTTTGGAGGCTGAGATTACGTAAAGGAGGTCATTTTTCCAGAAATTCCTAAGAATGGTGCAGGAATTCTTTCAAAGGCGACCCCAATTCTGACTTCATCCTTTTATGAATACATTTTTGATCCTTTTATCTTGAAATATGTTATACAAATCTAGTTATAGTTCTACATAAAAATTATATTGGGAAATCAGACTTATGGATGTGTGCTTTTATTTGATATTTAATAATGCCCTAAGGCAGTAATTCAAATTTTTATTAAAGTGAAATGATTTGACAGTCAGACTTTGAATTTAATGCATGAATGTTTCATTTAAGCTCTTGGAACTGAAAAGAAAAAAAAAGCCCACACTTTTTTCCTGGTAGTTCTCTAAAAAATGTTTAAAATAATTTAGATTTATTTTAGCTATGTTTTACTAAAATAACTTTAGTTTTGGGACTTAAAATGGCATTTTTTTTGCATGACATGTCTAGACATCTGCAAGGCTTTGATAACCAAGACTTATTATTCCCATGAATAATCTGTAACTTTTTATATTACCATTTCAGAAGTAAGAACTCTGATTTTGTACTTGTATAGAGAGTTAGCATATAACTCACCCAGGTGCATTGCTAGTTCAGATTTCTGGGAGCCAGTTGACATTAAATGGTTCTTTACCTATTGAATTTTCTATAGAAAGACTGAAAATATCAAAACTTAATAACAACAAACAAAAAATATGGCCAAGCATTAGGCCTAGTTTCTTTGTTGCTCTTGGTGTCATAATATTGGTACTAATCTATCAATGAAATGATTATTTGCCTATTTCTTTCATTGAGTATTATCCCATTTTAAAAGGCTATTCTTACTGTTTAGTCTTATCTATTTCCCCTGTGACTCAGGTATTGTTAATCTGCACACATGCTTACAGTAACTATAATTAATTATAATTATTTAATTTATTTTCTGTAAAAAGGAATACCACAAAGCTCTTTAAATATTTCCTTTTTTTTCCTGTCTTAAAAAGGGAAAATGTAAGTGTGCCCCAAATAGATTTTTAAAAACGCCCAAAAATGTAGAAGAAAAAAGAGGGGTGATTAAGCAACCTTCTCTGAACAATTGCTTTGTCAGACTTGTCCTTGTAATTCTTTCTGGGTCTTTGTAGTCACCCTCAGCTGTGTTGAATTCTTCTCCACGTATACTTTTGCAATTAATAATGTTGTCTTCTGAGTGTTAATGAAGCTATAGCTAGCATCAATTCCATATCGGTTTTCTTTTATAACTTAAAAGAGCTATAGGGGAGAAAAGGATAAGGCATGGTAGGAAAGGAGGGGCTATGTGGGGAAAGAGAGAATGTCAACTTGGAATGACCACTTAGGTGAAAGCTGCTATTATGCTTTCTGGATAAATGGAAAGCTCAAAGCCATGCTTTTAGTCAATAGAACCTGGACTCTCCTCAATCTAATAGTTTAACATGATGCACAGCATTGGTGTGAGGGATGAAAGCTCGATGGGTATTGCTGTTTTCAGTTTATTGTATCATATAGAACTTCTTGAAAATGGAATGAGTTTCCTAAAGGGTTTCAAAATGATTTCAGGAAGAGGCCCTAATACCAAGGGTGTTCAGCCTATCTATTGTGTTTTGATTATGTGATATAAAATTGTTATTAACCCAAGCTTGAACATATCAAAACTGTATAGGCATTTCTTCAAAATTACTAAACAAAGAGAATATTCCTGCTTCCATATTTGTCCTCCCCCCCTTTTTAAAGAATAGTTTATTGATTTTTAGAGAAAAGGAAGGGAGAAGAGAGAAACATAGATGTGAGAGCGTAACATTGACCTGCTGCCTCCTGTACCCCCCCCCCCCCCCCACCTCGGATCAAGCCCTGAATGGGAATCAAACCAGAAACTGTTTGGTGATGGGACAACGCCCAACCGAGTCACACTGGCCAGGGCCTTTCCGCCTTTTGTATGTTTTAGAAATGTTAATTATTTATTGTGCATAACAATTCCAGAATAATTTAGTGCCCTTCTTCCCCCATGAATTCAAACAAAATTGTGTTTGGGCAGAAGAAAAGAGACCATTTTGCAGTCATGGGCCAACTTGTATGTTGAACATTAATATATTCTGATACCTTAAATCGATTTTATGATTTTAAACCTGAAGGATATATTTTCCATAAGAAAATCACTGAGAATAGGTTATTGCCTCTAAACATGTTCTGTTATGCCTTTCATCTCATGGATGCTCATTTTTGGTAATTTCCTCAAATCAAAATTTTAGCTTTGTTTTTCCACTTTGAGACTTACGGAAACCTTATAGAGAGGTATTCATGTCAGTTTCATTCTCCTTTATATCTTGTCTATTCTCTCTAGGTCTCTTTCCTGTGATAAAGTTCACAGAGGTTTAGGGAAGCAGAGGCGGCATAGAACTGGGGAACTGTAAACCCCAGCACTCACTTCGTGCCAGAGTCCTCCCCGCTCAGCCTGATGGGCCTGCTCTCTCTGTAGGTGACTCACCTATACCCACAGCTTCAGTTGCCACTAAACACAGATAGCCCACTCCTTTATATTCCTGTACCAGGTCTCTCTATGAAGTTCTAGAATTGAGTGCCTGACTGTCAGTCTGACTTTTCTTTTGGGTGTGTCAAAGGCATCTCCAACTCAACATATACGAGATTGAATTTATGATGTTCCTTCATAGACTAGGCTCTCCAAGTTTTCCTAGAAACCTGAGTCAGACTTGACACTCCTCTTCCTCACCTCACCTCACCTCACCTCACCTCACCTCACCTCACCTCACCTCACCTTTCCATGTATCATCCAGTTTTAGATTTTCCTTCTGATAGCTCCAAATCTATCTATCACAACCCATAAAGTTAGCATCATCTCTCACCTAGACTGTTGCAAGGGCATTCTTCCCCTCTTCTACATAGGATTGTTCGAGAAAGATTTATAAAAATAACAGACATTGATGACACAGAACACTCAAACGTCTGTGCCAACTCTTGAGGGATTGGCACAAGGGTGTTGAGTAGGATTCTGAATTCACACCTGAGCACAGTGGAACACAGTGACATAACTAATGGCCACCATTTGCCATACGAGGCTGGTGGTGGTATTGTGGTTTGTTATTGCCATCCACATGAACTATAGTATTGTGGGCATCTGATTTAAATGTCTCAGCTTTTAAAGTGCAGTCTTTTAAATGGGCGTTGGAAAATTGATCTGCATTACATCTACCAATATGTAGCCTGGTGCTAGCGATTACAAGGAAATACAGGAACATGATGAAATTATGAAGTTCTCTACTTTCTTGTTAATATTTTCATTTCATTATGTGATAGTTAAGGTCCTGCTGATTATGCTAGCAAGCTGCTTACAGATAGCACAACCTGGGAAATGTGAAATCTCTGCATGGAAATGAACATGGCCTGATAGTGTCCGGGCACTTCCTCTTTGTTAGGGGTGGGAGCCCTCTCCTGTAAGTTAGAGAAGAAGCCGCATTAGAGGAAAGGTGGATATACTCTCACAAAGGTGTGAGACAATGTCTTTTAAAATATATAAAAAAAAAGCAACACAAAAATTTTGCTCATTTATCTTGGAGATATTTCTATGTTAATACAAACAGGTTTGCCTTGTTCTTTTGGCTACTTCAGTTTTAATTAAACAAATATTCTAGTTAAAACTTTTAACAAAACAATAATCTAGACAATGCCCAATGTCCTGGACAAAATCCAAAATATTTATTAGATAATATGGAGGTTTCCCTAATCAATCAAGTTGCCACTAGACCACACATTCTCAAATAAACGAATTGCTACATTTCCGTTTTCCATTACAGTGCTTTAAACGCTTTCAAAATTTCTGAATTCTTCTCATTTCAGTGGTCACAAACTCATAAAGGCTTTTAGGCCTGGTCTGCATAAAATATTTTCCAGGACATCTTAGAAGCATGGCGTTGAATTGGATCTCAAAAAGTTATTTAATCTAGTCTTCTGCCCGAAGTGGTCTTCAACCAAATTATTCCAGATGGTTGCTCCCCTTATCTGGAAACAAACAGGCAAAAAACCCATGTTGTCTGAGAATACCTACTTCAGAGTTTTTCACTGCTGCCCAATTCAATGAGAAAACCCCCCCACAAGAAATACTATCTGTAAAGTATTAACTAAATTGGAATGCCATTCTGATAGTAATATTTTTATGGTTTGCTGTAAATAAATATCTTTTATTAATGTAATGGGTTAGATTCCAAGTATCCCAAGATTTATGTTTCTTTTTCTTTTTGCAGCATGCGTGAAGTCCTGTAACCTTTATGCTGCAGAGAAACTCATAATTTTTCACAGATATGAATGTTCATTCTGATTTTAGTATGGGGACAACCAGCGGTTCTCTAATATCTTTTCCTTAAAGAATGATTATATTTAGTGGTTCCCAGCAATAAAATCACTGTAATTAGGAATAAAAGATTGTAAATAAGAATAACAATGTTATTAATCATCTAAGTTAGTCATTTATGGCACATTCCTGTACTTGAAATATTTCCATAGGAAATAATGCTAAAATCCACATTTACTTATAATTAGACATATTACAAACCTTCTCTCATTATAATAGTTGCCCAAATCCCAATTCAACTTAATTTCCTTGAATCTGATTTCTGGACTAAAAGCATTAAGCTTGAACTAGTGAAAAATGTATAATATGTGCTTCAATTAAGAAGTAATTAGATACTCAATCACCCTTACAACACACCAGGGATTAGGGAGGAAGGAAGAAAAATATGATGCACTGTAGTGTATAAAATAGTTTTGTTAATTAGTTTAGTGCTAATTGAGATTGAGAAAGTGTCAGGGTATCATAACATAGGTTTACCTCTGAATTGCTTTAAAAGCTAATAGTGTTTAATATTTTAGGATACTTTGATGCAGAGAAGTGTGGAAATGACCCAGCTATATGATTTACCCTAGAGTTTTGATTGATGTTTATACATTCATTCTAAGGTATACATATTAGTGAGTGATGGAAGGTAAAAACAAATGCTGTTTTATATTTCATACATTCTGTTGTATTTTACATCTAATTTAATCCTCACAACAATCCTGTGAGGTATGTGTGTTTATTTTCATTTTAGAGATAAAGAAACTGAGACTGAGAGGGGTTGAGTAACTTGCTCAAGGTCACAGCCATTAAAGTGCAAAGCAAGGATGCAAACCCAGGTAGGTTTAACTGCAAACCCTCAGCTCTTTCCCCTGCACCCCATTTCAAATAGCAAAGGGCAAAACATTATGAAGGCCTTTCTATCTGTGCCTCCTTCTCTCTTTTAGAAAAGTTCCTGGGAGTGAGGTTTCTGGGGGGAAAGGACATGCCTGGTTTTGTTTTGGGTAACATATTGCTAAAACCCCCTCTATAAAGGGTTATAGTAATTTTTTGCTTACATCATTGATTGAATCCTTTATAGAGGGTGTTTTTGCCATTTATCTGTATCAGTCCCTTTGTATGCCTCTTACCTCTCTCTCATCTTTTTACTCTTCACTTTCTTGAAATGTGTTCATCTCCATCTACCTATTGAAATGGCTGTGGCAAAGTCACCTTTGATTTCTTTCTCCTTTTTTTTTTCTTTGTTTCCATATCTCCACATATAATACATGGTCATGGAAGAAAATTCAAACAATACAGAGTAAAAGGAAGAGGGAGCCAACGTTTCTCAAACCCTCCTCCCTGGATGGCTGTCACTAGTGCCGGGTGTTCGGGTGCACATGAGTGACCTGTAGCACCGTGGGGGACGGCTCGGGTTCCATTCTGACTCCACCACTAATTAGCTGTGTGACCTTGAAAAAGTTACTAATATCTCTAAGTCTCTTTTTTTCATCACTTAAAACGAAGACCATCATAGTGTCTACCTCATAGGGTGGTTGTGAAGATAGGATGAGATAATGTAATCAAAGTTGCTTAACATGGTTTTAGTTCATAGTGTAAGTGTTCGATAAATGTTACCTTTAACATTATTTGTGTCCATTTGATCTCTCCTAGGCATATATTTTATATGGATATGCATACATATTGTGTTTCTTATGGGATTATGTTATACAGACTGTTTTCTATCTGCTTGATGATACATCTTTTCATGCCATTGAAGAGATGGCATACTTTTAAATGATTGTACTAAGTTGCCTTTAATATGTAACAAAATTTATTGAGCTATTCCTCTATTATTATACATTAATGTCATTTCCAGTATTTAGCTATAATCAACAATACTATGTTTAATTTATGCATTTATTACCTTAAAAATTCTTACTAATAATATTACTGGCTCAGAGAGTTAATTGTAATATATATATGTATATATATGCAAATTGCTCTTCCCCAAGAGTTGTATCAGCTTGTGTTCCCACTAACCATGTACCCAACTACACATTTATTTCTCTTTGCCTTTATTAACATTGAGTATTTTCAATTTTTTTTATTCTTGCCGATCTGATTAAAAATGACTGCTGCATTATATTAAGTATTCCTGTGAATACTTGATTTTATTCCTGTTCTGTTCCATAATCTGTCTATTCATGAGCGTTGACCAGGATGTTTGTGGCAAGAATGCATATTTTAGTGTCTTGTAGGACAAGGTCCCTTACTGATCTTTTTGACAGAATTTTCCTGGCTATTTTCACATGTTTAATTCTTCCAGAAAAAAATATAGGATCATTTTATCAGAAAGACTGACATAAAGAATATAAGAAAAAGAGAAAAAGAAAGGAAAAAAGAATCTTGCTAGGATTTTTCATTTGTATTGCATTGAATATATACAGTAATTTGAGAATTGATATCTTTACATTATTAAATCTTAGTTAAGGAACAATGCACAGGTGTATGCTTATTAAAGTTTTTTATGTTCTTTATACTTGTATAGTTTTCTCTTTTCACTAAATTTACCCCAGGATGTGTGCATTTGGGCTCTGGAGTCAGCCTGGGGTGTTGCTTGATGAGGAACACAGCATGTCCACTTGCTGCTCCACAACTTGTGCAAATCATTGATATTCTTTCAGCCTCAGTTTCTCATACATGAAGTGGAGGCACTGGGAGTCACACCTTTTAAAGATGTTGTGAGGATTAAATGAAAATGGTAAAATGCTCAGGACAGTACTTAGCCAAGGGCTAGCATTCAACAAATGTGAGCTATCACTATCAATTTTGATTAGTGATATTTCCCATTATATTCTTACATTGGTTAATATTATTTCATTGAAAAAATAATTGCTTAAGTCTGTCCTTGGTTTTCTCACTAATCTTTTCTATAGTTTCCAATAATACTTTAGCTGATTGTTTTGAGTTTTCTAAATAGACCGTGATCACATCTGTAAATGACAATTTTATCTCCTCCTTTCTAATTTTAATACTTACTATTTTATTGCACCATCTAATACTTATAGAATAATGTTAAATACATTAACAATGATGTCTGGTACCCCTTTCTTATTTCTGATATGTTTGGATTTCTATTTCCCAAATCCAGAAGCATTTTTTCCCACTCTCTTTAAATCTTCAAAAGCATCTGATGTTCTTGACCTCTTTCTTCCTCTCTTTTTCTTCCTCGTGACCACTTACTGTTTGTTACTAGTGGGTATGTTGGTAAAGAAGGTAGCTATATGCCTTTGCTTGTAATGGAAGGACATTTACGTTGAACCTTCTGTGTTGTGTATGTCAGTATTCAAGGGACTATATGAAAACAAACATAAGCAGACATAGATTTTTCCTGAAGTAGTTTATAGCCTAGTAATCAGGTACACAGCTAACTCCAAATCAAAGCAGCATGTAGAAACTGCCCTGAGATAGGGTTCTACTAGTGTACAGGAGAAAGAGACCATTTGGAAAGAGAAAGTCCTTATGGCTGGCATATAGCTATTTCTTAAAAGAATCCTATTTTGGAGATGTTACATTGAATTATCTTGCTTAAAGAGGGATGTGTTAGTGTGTTATCAAGGAGCTGAGCCAGACTCACTTGGATGTAGATCAAGCCCGGGACCTGCAGTGGCCTTTGAGAACAAGGACATGTGTGCTCATGTGCTTTCTTCTTTTTGATAGCTTTTCAGGAAATTCTCCAATAGTGATTTGATTTGCACTCATTCCCAAGGGTCTCCTTGTAGAAGATAATTTAAGGTTCTGAAACAGTCACATGAAAGATAGCATCTGTTATAATTATATTGAAATAGCTGATAATTTAGAAGACTTCTTAAGATACAGTCATACTTCAAGGTCTCATTACAGACAATGGCCATTGTATAATAGAACATTTCCTTTTATAGTTAAGCTTTTTTATTATTTATATACTAGTGACCCAGTGCATGGATTTGTGCACATTGAAAGGAAATTAATTAGATGGTGACCAGCCGGGTGGGACTGGGCGAGACAGGCCGGACACACCCTGGAGCCAACCTCCTGCGGTCCCTCCCCAGCCTCTGTGGATTGAGCGGGTTCCCTCTGGTAGGTGAGGTCCCTCGGCCTGGCCTGTGGGGAGTGGGCTGAAACCAGCTCTCCATCATCCCCCGAGAGGTCCCGGAGTACGAGAGGGCACTCTGCAAAGCTGCTGTCTACCAGGTGTGGACTGCAAATGCAAATATGCAATAAACCATACTCGGGGCCAACAGTGCTCCAGCAACAACATAACCCATGGCCGAAGGGGGAATCCCACGAGGAATCGGGCTCCCTCCTCTCTGGTTTCAGGGTTTGTCACCTGAGAACCCCCGCTGCAAGTCAATGCAGCTCGGCAGCTTCTGCATTGAGTGTCTTCCCCCTGGTGGTCAGTGCACGCTATAATGACCAGTCAGATGGGTGGAGGGACACTTAGCATATTAGCCTTTTATATATATAGCTAGATAAATGGGTATTTGGAGGAAGTCCCAAAGGGCAGAAAGTCAGCCTGATCACTTTTGTATATTCAAAGTGTCATTTCTTTCCTTATATACTGATTACCAAGGAATACAGTTATTGTGGAAACTTTAGAAAATATGCAAACATATAAAAAGGAACTTTTGTTTTAAACACTGATGATCCATTAAACATAGGCAGTTAATTTTGTTTCCATCACAAATTGCAGTAAAATAACAGGAAATATATTTTTAAAGTGCACAAACCTACAAGGATAGCCAAAACAAAAGAGGAGACAACAGTGACATTTTTGGAAGCTAGAGGCAGATGCTTGTATGATAATGGACTTAGCAGATGTGAGGAGCAAGCCTGTGTACATGACAGAATCTCTTAAAGTCCCAGGAATTGGTGAGAACAGTTACCAATTTCACTAGAAGTTGGAGTGAAAGGAGGCTCAAATCATCTGTATTGGTTAGAAGCTGTTTAAGAAGCACTTACATCTCCAAATCCTCTCCCAATCTTTGGTGGGTACCTGGAGATACCCTCTGGAGATGATGAAGAGAGAGTATTAGGGGACATAGGCATAATTGATCAGGGTCAGGATACCGCAGTGAAGAGAGGGTGATTAAAGGACATCCTCATACTTCCTATCCCCCTCCTGCCCCACTTGCCCTCCAATGCATTGGTAGAAAGGCCTCTACCCAGACAAGCGGCCGGAGGTTCTTTCTGGAGAATCTGACACCCAGGGACTTCTCTACTATAGCCCAGCTGGCTCCTCCTGTGGTGAAGGCACAACAGATAAGGCCCCCTGTGTGCTTGGAGTCTCCATTCTGGTTTCTACTAGTGGTTGTTCCCTTTCTTAGATATGAGCAGTTAAGGATATTTGAAGAAATCCTATCACATGTAAGAGTCCACAACAAACAGAAGAAGGCAAGATATAAGAAAGAAATACCTAGGAAGAGAAAACTTCAAGAAGGTAATCATTCAGATCTTCAGAGAGAGAAGGAAAGAAATTGCAACCATGGCATAGGAATGGGATGCGATTAAGAAACTGAAAACATGCCCTGACTGGTTTGGCTCAGTGGATAGAGCATCGGCCTGCGGACTGAGGGGTCTCAGGTTTGATTCTGGTCAAGGGCATGTACCTTGGCTGCGGGCACATCCCCAGTAGCGGGTGTGCAGGAGGCAGCTGATCGATGCTTCTCATCGATGTTTCTGACTCTCCATCCCTCTCCCTTCCTCTCTGTAAAAAATCAATAAAATATATTTTTTTAAAAAGAAA